TTGAATAGTTAAAGAAACATATCCTTTCATTGGAGTTTTAATAGAACCTACTGTATTAATATACGAATTACTAATGGGAATAATGCTCAATTTAAGTTTCTTACAACAAGAAATGGAAATTAAATTATTTTGTGATGCACTATCAATAAGACATCTAATTATGGTTTTATTCCCATTATCACCTAACGCGTATACTTGCGCTGTTGATAATAATACAGTAGTGTTTGTATTTAAAGAAGCTTTTGAATGCATAGTAATAGATTGAGTTAAAGGTTTAAAAGTAGAAGATGAAGCTATATTATTTTGCATAGTAGGAGATTCAGTTTTATGTGTTTCAAAGTGTAATAATGAATGATGACGTTTCTTGCATATTTTACAATATAAATTTGATTTACATTTACTGCTAGTATGATTTGACCGTAAACAGTTAATACAATATCTTAATTCTTTAACCTTATCAAATCTAACCTTAGGTGACATATTTTTAAATACTTGACATTCTAAAATATTTGAATGATCATTTTTATTACAAATTATACAATTTAATGGCTTGACATCTGTTATTGAAAAAGAATGAGATTGTACAATTGAGTGTTTATTTTTTAAGGAAGAATTAGTGAGTGTATTATGTTTTAGACTTGAATGTGAATTTGTAAGTTCTAAAATTTTAACTTGTTGTCGAATATATTCAATTAAATCTTCACAAGATGGAATATCTTTATTAATTGAATTTTCAAATGATTGTATAATTTGGGGATCTAGCTTTTTTAATGCCATATGAAGAAATATGAAATCCGAAAGGTCAGTTATATTTAATTGTCTCAAAGCGCTATAAGAGGAAGAAAAACGTTCTATAAAATTATTTAATTGATTGGAATTATTAGATGCAAATTTAATATCAATTATATTATTTAAATAAAATGTACCCAATGCACGTTTATCTTGATATTTTTTTACCAACGAATTCCAAATTGTTAAATAATTTTCCTCATTAGGAAGAATTCCCGATAAAACAGTAAGTGACCTGCCACTTAACTTTCCCACAAGATATTGAACTTTTTGAGAATCATTTAAATTTGAATTTAGATGAATATTAGATTTAAATGCCTCAAAAAACAAAGGCCAATTTTCAGGATTCCCATCAAATTTAGGTAATTCAATTGGGGGTAATTTAATGTTAAAACATGGCTCTTTTCCTAAAGAATTTTGGGTTTGTGGCAAAACCCTGCGACCCTCCAACACAGTATTTCTTACTTCTTTAATTTGGCTATATAAATTTACAAAACTCGACCATTTTTCAAAACTAGGAATATATTCTGAATTTATATCCAATTCTAAATTATTAGCTTGATCTGTTAAATTATTATATTGATCATATAATGTATCTAAAATTGACGTATTTGACATAAATTCCTGTGTATTCCTAGTTTCTGCCTTTGAAACCTTTTTAGCATTGTCATTATAATTTAAAAATAAATTAAATATTGCGTCTCTTTTTGCATTTATAGCTAATAATGACATATTTGACATTTTATAATTAATTTAATTTAAATTCAATTTTTAACTAAATAAATAAAATTTTATAAGTGGACTGTATCAAAAAATGGATTTCAAAATCCGGTTCGTATGGGCCAAAATATGGTGTATCAATGCACCACAGGTTAATAAAAGAAGAGATTGTACTTACAGTTATATTCCTTTATTTATGATTTATATATTATGTGTAATTATTATGACATTTATAATTTTAATTTGAAATTCATCTAAATAAATATTTTAATATCTTATTTCTTCCATATCCATGAATATCTTTCTTCTTATATTTTCTTTATTAATTATCTTTCTTCTTATTTCATTCTTCTTATTCTATTCGTGTAATTTTCTTATATTTTTTCTTGTATTTCTTCTCGTAGGTATAATTTTCTTTTATATTGTCTATTTTTTATTTATGTATATTATATATTATTTATTTTATTTATATTTTATGATGTAGGTATATTAAATTATATAAATTTTATGATTATGATTTTTTATATATATTTTTTATTATTATTATTATGTTATGTTATTTTTGTTATAGTTATCATGGATAACTATTTTTTAATATATAAGTATCAAAGATATTATTGATAGTCTTAAGTTGAGACTCTCAACTAACAATGACACAAAATAAAGGTTATGTAACCAAAGTCACATTGACAACTTAAATCAACCCATGGCGCAATACTTGGCGCCAACAAATAGGTATCAGTAACGTAACATTTTAACGTTTTAAACATGGAGCTATGGTTTTAATGTTAAAATTTGACGTTTCTAATGACGTTTATTTATACTTATTGACATTCCCCTTTATTAAAAACCATCAGTAGTTACTGATTACTAATTATTTACTATTATTTTGCATTTTTTTGTTAAAATCATTTAGAGATCCTAATTTTGCTATGACACGAAGATAATTTTGTTGTTTTAAGGTATTAAATTGAAGATTTGTTTTTCTAATGATAGTTAAATGTAATTTTTATTAAAATTTTAGCCCACTGTGCGCTATGACAAACACCCTATTTTTGTATATAAGGTATTGAGCTTAAACTTTTTATAAAGATATTTAGGGCACGTCTGAATCGAACACACTGTATCAAAAGTTATCCAAAGGATAATAAATATTAATAAATATAATTGTTGTTCTATATATTTATTTAAAAGCAAAACAAAAGAAGAGTAATCAAAAGCTGCTGAAAAGAATAATATAGCAGAGAACTTATGTAAACTTTATTTTAAAACTTTTGTATATAAGGTATTGAGCTTAAACTTTTTATAAAGATATTTAGGGCACGTCTGAATCGAACACACTGTATCAAAGGTTATCCAAAGGATAATAAATATTAATAAATTTAATTATTGTTCTATATATTTATTTAAAAGCAAAACAAAAGAAGAGTAATCAAAAGCTGCTGAAAAGAATAATGTAGCAGAGAACTTATGTAAACTTAATTTTAAAACTTTTATTGTTATCCACTTTAAAAGTTAAATTTTATTTTATGTATACAATTATTTAATACGATTGTTTCAACATTTAATGTTGTTGATTTAAAACGTACAATTTTACGATGATAACGTGGTGGATTATAAATTAAATTAGAGTGCTTCCTTTTCAGAGATATTCTTGTTTTTCAATTTAATTTGAATTTGTATCGCCATTTCGCGAGCGAGCTAATTAACGAATTCTTTGAATATTTCGCATGATTTTGTTTTATCCAGTCTTTTATAAAACTTAATTTATGAATATTAGGTATGTTTTTATTCCTGCTTATAACAAAAAGGTTCTATTAGAATTTAAAGTTTGTTTAAATAAATAATAATCTAAAATAATTAATTAAGAAAAATTAAAAATGTGTTTTTACCTTATTACCAATCAGACGGGTTTAACCCAACTTTTTTCCAAAAGTGTTAAATAAAAATGAGTTTTTAGAGTAGTTTATAAAAAGAGTTGCATTATACACTTTATCCACGAGCACGAAGACTAGACTAGAAGAGTACAAACTTCAGCCCGTGACTAAAACGCCATAAAGTCATAGCTTGACACTGCGAGAGTAGATTAAAAATGCAAGTCAACGATATCAAAACAGATTTAAAAAAAAATTATATGGATGAAAAAAAATGAAAATACTGATTGAACTCCTGATATATTAGAAGAAAAAATAGAATTATTGATGAAAGAAGAAAATTATATGGATGTTTGTAAAATTAATTGTTATTAATGGTATGAGAAATGGAATAAATAAATAAATGGAATAAATAAATAAATCAATAACAAATACATAAAGCAAGTCTAGAAACAATGAAAAGAAAAATATAGACAATGCAATACATTTAAATTTATGAGGCGGAAACAGATAATATTGAAATAAACCATAAACCATAAACAGTAAGAATATAGACAATATATAAATGACTGAGGGGATGAGTTGAACTCAGATTCTCTTGATTTACCCTTGATCATATTAAAAAAATATACATAATGAGCTGGCCAAATAGCTTGAACACCCCTAGTAGCAATTCCGGAAAAGTCTTGGCCCAGCATGGACAGATTTTTGCTCAAGAATTGTACAAGATTTGTTCCAGATTCTTGGCCAATATTATTGGGCAAGACCTGAGCCAGACTGTGGCCAGAATTTGACAAGAATTTGACCAGAAATCTGAGGCCATCTATTGCTAAACTTTGGGACTATCCTTTAGAGTAGAGGTTCTCATTCTACAGTAGTATCATTCACAATAATGTATACTAGTCGAGAAGTGAGTTCTCTGTAGGAAATGAGTATAGTTTTTTTGTTTATGTGAAAATACGAATAAGAGCTTATTGGATTCGTCTTCTAGCTGAGAAAAAAATTGATTTTTTTGAAAAATAAAAATTGTTATTTCTAAAAATCAAAAATTAAAAAAAAAGTGTGTGCCATCTCTGACGCATAACTAGAGTTTACTTTTTATGAACATGAAAGATTATAAAATACATGTTTATTTTTACGGGCACCTGGTTTTTTTTAACATAGAAAATTAAAAACTTTAACTCTTTCAAAATTTGTTTCGTTTTTAATTCTATTGTTTACCAGATTTATGGATAAAAACCGAATTTACTGGAAAGAAATCGTGGAAAATTAATGTTTTTAGTAACATTCTTAACTTTTGAAGTTCAACAAAATTTTTTATTGACCAAAAATCTTGAATTGAAAGTTCCTATTTAACGTGTAATCGTGTAAAAATTCTTGGCCAAGAATCTGGTCAAATTCTGGTCACAGACTTGTCCAAGTCTGCCACCAGTCTGGATAAAGAATTTTGATCAAGAGTCTTGGTCAAGAATTGTCCAATTCTTTACAAAGTGCTTCTCCAAGTATCTTGACAAAGAATCTTGTCCAATTCCATTGCTACTAGGGACAGTGCTTCTGTGTTCAGATTGAAGAAGAAGAAGAAGAACTTACCGATTGCAGTCTTTTTGGCTCTCGCACCACGTCAAGTAGGCAGTGAAAAACTCGCTGTCGAGATTCTCGCGGCAGTAGTGCTGGCACCTCGACTGCTCCGCGCAGTAAATGTAGTAGGGCTGGAATACCTCGTGGATCTGCGAGAAACCCTCCAGCATGTTCTCGATGCACGGTGGACGTTTGTACTGGCGCATGGTGCGCACCAGGGGGAACAACGTGTTGCGCCAGAAGATCACGTTAGCGTCCAGGATTTCCGTGATGTTCGAGAACAGTTTCACGGTGTCGATTTCCTTCAGGAGGGTTTTCGATTGGAGGTCTTTCAGACATGCCAAGAACAGCTGAAAGAGAAACGCCACCAAAAATAATGAAATTTGGGTTTGCACCTTTCTTGGATTAATATTTTACACCTGCCAAAATTGATCTAAATCTCTAAATTCTTGTCAAAACTACAGGGCTCCCACGGCTAAATTACAAATTTTATTTAGGAATTTAGGAGGTTTTTTGTAAAATTTTAGGAGAAATAAAGTATGGAAATAAATTTCTTTAATTAAATAACAACATCTCTTTACTACTTAAAAAATAAAAATAATACTTCTTTTGTAACAATATTTGTATTTGTATATATTGACTAGTTTTTTAGCCAAATCGCTCGACGAGTTTTTTTTTTAATAAAATTAAAAGTGAGGTAAAATTACTACTTTTGTATATATCTGAGGTACATAAATATACAAGTATAAATTTCACCACACTTTTAATTTTATTTAAAAAAATGCGTCGATAGATTTAGTTAATGCCAAAATCAAATGATGTTATCTTTATATTTTAAGAAAAAAACATGTTAACCGTTTAGTTAATAACTAACAGTAATTAAATCGATAAGGTTAAGAATAGTACAAGTCCAAAAGTAAAATTTTTGATAAAATATTTCAAAAAATCAGTTTTATAGTTCTAAATGCATTTTTGTTAGAATATTTTAACTATTTTATGAAATATAATATTCATTTTTTGTAAAATAATTTATATCTTCTAACAAAAATGTATTTTAAACTTTAAAATTGATTTTAGAAAATAAATTGTCAAAATTAAATTTTTGGACTTGTACTGCTTTTATTCTCACCAATTCAATTGCAATGTGGATCTTAATACTTAAAAATCTCATAACAAAATATGAAGTTTGCAAAATATAGCAAAACATTCTTTAGATTGTTTACCATTTTAGCTGTCATTTAAAAGAAAATTAAAAATCCTTTTGTTTGGTATATTTTAGACTAAAAAACGAAATATCGCTAAAAATGACAATTTTGTAGAAGTTTTTATGTTGTATTTTAAGAAAAATTTAAATTGTGTTATTATATCATTTTAAAAAAAAATTTAATAAGATAGAACCTAAATTTTTTAGCACTACCTTAATTAAACGCAGTCAGGTTGGCCTATTTAAATTTAATTTTTAGGATTTTTAGGAGATTGAAGGCAATTTTAGAAGAATTTTAGAAGTTTTGAAGATTTAAGCAAAATTTTAGGAATTTTATGAATTTTAGGAGGTGTGGGAGCCCTGAAACTATGAAAATATTACAAGAACACTTTAGGTTTACTTGTTTATAACACCTTTACCAATCTTTATAAACTTTTGTATAAAAATACTTCAACTTATATCTCAGTTTACGTGTTCGAGGGTTTTTCGAGAAAATATTTTTAAAGCCCTTTTATTTAATAATTAAAAAAACTTTCAAAAAATAACTTAAGTAAATGAAAAATATGCTGTTAAAGACCGTATTTTCGTTAGTATACCCTGAAAATTTTGTAAAAATCAAACAAATAGTAACGAAGATACAGCGCTTCAAAGTCGGCCTTTTTTATTATTTTGCTGAAAAGTGGTCATTTTTGACGATTTTGAAGCGCTGTATTTTCGTTACTGTTCGTTTGATTTGTACAAAATTTTCAGGGTATACTAACAAAAATACGGCCTTTCACAACATATTTTTTATTTACTTAAAAATAAATTTCCCTATAAAAGTTTTTTTTCGAGCATTTTTTATTTTAAATAAAAGGGCTTTAAGGATATTTTCTCGAAAAACCCTTGAACACGTAAACTGAGATATAAGTATTTTTATACAAAATTTTATAAAGATTGGTAAAGGCGTTATAGAGTTGGATTATAGTGTATGTACTTTACCTCAATTCGGATTTAATTGATTTAAATGTTAAAAATACACTTAAAAGTTTACTTTATTACGTAAACCATTATTAATCGCAAATCAATATATACTTTATATTACAATTAAATCTTTTTTATTTAGAATTTATTACTTTTGACGAATATACCTATGTGGTGAAACGAAATCTAGAGGCCAATTGTAGTTTTATTTTAATAAATATATAATAATATACATGGAGGGTCATTTATCCATAAGAATGGTTATTGTTAAGCAGATTTTTGTTCAGAGTCATAAATTATAAATATGATTTAAATGTGTTCATATCGATGACTTTTTGCCAAAGTATCGCCAGCACCATAACTCAAATTTCGAGAATTTTAATATGTTTTGTTTTAAAGTCTGTTTTATATGAGGGGTATAGATGCAAAACTCACTGTTTGCTAAATTTTTAGTTTTTTTTCTTGTTTAAATTTTTTCATTAAATTACTGATAGCACTATACAGTGTCATCTAATAAATTGTCATCGATTGAGGGGATGATAGTACACGAAAAAAAAATCATTTTTGCATTAAATAAACAATTATCAACAAAGTATTCAATGATAACACAAATGTAAATTTTGAATGAATGTAGATTATTGCCCACTGTGCACGCATATTTTGCGTCAGTTGTCATAGGTCAGGAAAAATCAGTGTCGGTCCAAAATTTCTACTTTACTTATAAAAATGTTAATGATTTTTTTATTAAGAAAATGACACTCATGCAAAAATACACATTTTAAAATAATACAATTTTGAAGCTAAAAATGTTGTAAATAATAAAATGATTAAGAAATATTTTAGAATTGATTAAAAAGTCTTCATTCAACGGTTCAAGACTACCTTATAGTAAATTTTATTTTAGTTTAACTATATTATACAGTAATTTATGCTAAATAGTATTAGATTTAATAAATTTCGTCTAAAAATTTACATCCACAGACGTATACTTATATCTCTTATTTTTAAATTTTTGCAAAAAGTCAGGTTTGCAGCTTATACAGTGTGACCCATTTCTTTGCGACTCAACCCTAAAATCTTATTAATTAATTTTAATCGGATTTGTTTTAAGGTGTATATATTAATAAATACCTTCTATGTCAGTAAACCAAATTAAAAATGACCTATAATTACTATTAAAAAAAAATTTTGTCAAGTTACCAATAAAAAACATTGAAATAAAATTAAACTAATAGTTTCACATGGTTTAACAAATAAAAAGCACAATAGAAACTAAAACAACAATGAAACAAAAAATTGAGAATTCTTCATCAGAATATTTAAGTATATCATATTACTATTAAGCAGCCCTTGTATTTTGTAAAAATATGGTGTTTTTTGTCCAAAAATACAGTTTACCAAGATTTACACTTTAAAACAAATCCGGTTAAAATCGCATAATAAAAAAAGATTGGGGTGGGTCACACTGTATATAGCCTATAGGTTTTATAACAAGTAAATAGTTTATAATTATAGCTATTTACATGTTATAAAATCTATAGGCTATATAAATTTTAAAAGATACTTATAGATTAATAACAAATGTTAAAACTTACAAATTTGAGTTATGATGCTTGCGATATTTTGGCATATATTATGGAACGAACTTCATAATTAATTATTTACTTCAAAGGCGTCTGATATTATTAAAAAGTGCTTTGAAATGGTAAATAAACCATACAAACTGATTTTACAATTTAAAAAAATGTGCTTTATAGGAATCTAAAATAGTTAATCACTTTTTAGATTTAAAAGAACACAAAATCAGAAAAAAATTGCTTCCACGTGGCAAAATATCTTAAAAAGTGCTTTGAGGGCTCCACAAATTTTTTTAATTTAAAAAAAGCATTTTTTAAATATGTATTTAAATGTAATCAAAACCATATACATAGTATTATTTAACGTAATAAAACAGGTATATAAACTTAAATCATACATAATTCACTTACATCTGTAACAACTTTTAAAGTTTTAATGTATGCCACTTCGGTTTTAATTAATTCCCATAAAACCGTCTGTTGCTGCTGTTGTTTCTCACTTAAATCTAAACAAAAGAAAACAAAAAAAAACAATTAAATCTTTTGAAAAACAAAGTCAAACTTAATTAATTACCGCCATACTCGACGATATCCTTCCAATCGTCCTCTAATTTATACAGAGCGTCGACAGACTCACACTGTCCCTGTCTGTAGTTTAAACTACTTGGTATTCCTTGTTTCGTGTATTTGTCTAGTTGTTCGATTAAAGCTTCTAATTTTGCGTCCTAAAATTAAATTTAATTTTACTCGAAATTACTCCCGGGGCATTCGCCATTTTTGCAACTTTTAATTAGAGAATTTCGGTTGTCAGCTTTAATTTTATTGCAGTGAGGATTATTTTAGAGGGTAACAAAAAGGTATTTTACAACTTAGTTTAAACTATGTAAAACGAGCTGACATTAAAACGGAATAATAATTTCCGAAAAGACAATAATTCCTTCGAATCGTAAAATTAAGCTTACGTAACAAGTGTTCGTTTGAGCCGCGGTTTCAATTTAAGTTAAATTAGTTTCAACGTGTAATTGTTTTTAACTATGTAATAATTTTTAGAACGCCGAATTGAGTCTTTCGGGGAAATAAAAACATTTCAAAAATTTTCATTCCAATGTAAATTAAATTCTTAAATTGCAGTCCTGTGTGGGTACTTGATTACAGAACCCCTGGTTATGCATAACATTTTGAACTTTAATAAAAATCTTTGTTCCTTTGAAGATTCATTATTTTCATGTCGCAGGTTACAGGTTTTACTATAAATTGAACAAAGCTTTTTGTGAAATAAATAGTTACGTATGTTTGTACACAGGCATACATAAAAGAGTTTTTAATGAGCCCATTTGAAAATTTCATACACAAAAGGTTTACGAATTTTCGACATAGTTTAAAGCTGAAACTAGCTTTAATAAACCATTAAATTTTAATTTACTATATTGAGCAGTTTTTATTTACTGTTTACTGTTAAAGAAAGATACCACTGGACCCCCTATCATTTTTAGTCTTATTTTCATCATTATTATGATAAACAATTCCTACAACTAAATGTGGTATAAAAGCTCAACTTGGGTAAAATTTGTTGTCAAATTTATACACACAGATAAATCCAAATATTATCGATTAATGTACTATGTAAACATGTTGCAAAGCACACATCCATTCCAAAACATAATTGACCGCAAATTTTACAAATATAATTTAAATGGAAGCGCTTATCGGAAAACCAATTTGTGTTTTTAATTTAATATACATTATGTATACGGTAATATTTTATACAGGATGCACCCCCACTCCATGCGCCGCTAGCAACATGCAATCAGAGAAAAAAGAATATTTAATCTGTGGTCTATTTTTATGTTTATTTGTGTTTATGCATTTCTCATTAAGTAGTCGACCTTTGGTAAATCTAAACCGAAAACTTAAAACGTTTCAAAAATTTAACAACACGGGCTTACAATACCAGGGTTGTCACTAATTTTTTAGACAATATCCCCCAAGGAATAATATCAAATGAAGGTACAATTTGCTGGCCAGCGAGATCACCGGGTCTGGATCTTAATGATTTTTTTCTTTGGGGGGTATGAATTCCAGCGTATTTATTTTTGACGGTTTTTATTGTTCATGCAGGAATATTATAATAATAATCATTTTTTTTATTTGTACATAAACCATAACTGCATTTTAATTATTGACTTTAAACCTCTTAAAAATTTTACTACAGTTTGAATTGATTCGTTATTTTCCACAAAGAACTAAAATCTTTAAACTTAAATACTTACTTTTGTGTTCCCAAAAAACGCGGTAAATCGTTGTTTGATTTGCCTTTTATTTTCTCCCTCATGTAGAGAAAAAGTGGACGTTGCTATAGGAGTCGCTTCTTCAGTACTCGAATTAAAAAAACTACTTGTTCTAGGCCTATAACTCTGAAAAAAAAAACACAAAATAAAATACCGCCCCCAATTTAATATGTTCTACCTTTTACAGACAACTGTTATATATTAAAATGTAAATATAAAATTGGCAAGGCATTCTATTTAGGGTAGGACGTATGTTTCAAAAAATAAATCTCCCTTAACGGGACTTAAACAACGCTTCGTAAGATTAATATCGCCATTTGTAAACACGTTGAGATGAAATTTAAAAGAATGAACGCCAGGTAAACATATTTACATTAAAGCTAATGGGGTGAATTAGATCAGGTATAAAAGAAAAATATATTATATTGTCTTAATAATTTTACTTACCCCTGATTGCTTTCTTAAATGATTGCTGTGAAATGATCCTGATAGTTTTTTATTGCTTGCTTCTTTTGCTGAAACAACACAATAAATAATAAAAAACCTGTTGATTCAGGCCTGGCTGTGATGGGGTTGTTAAATGAAAAAAAAAAACAAAGTCTACGCTTTATTAGATTTTATTGTTATTGAAACAGGAAGGTAATGAAATAATAAAATACTGAAAGAAAAAAAAATGCTCATAAACTATAACTGATTTTTCTAGATTCTATTCAGGTCTAGAAAATTTAGCTTCTGTCTCTTGCGGGAAATACGAACATTTTAAAAGCATTTTCAAAATAATTTTCATGAAGATAAAAAATAATTTTTTGGAAATAAAAACTTTTAAATTTAATATACCCAAAACAATCATCCCAAAAGGTGCATATTTCTGAATTCAGAATTTTATAATCTATTCAAATCTGCACAAAAAAATAAGGGGTAAAACTTAAAAAAACGACCGATGACGTCATAGCAAATTTAAATTTTTAAATAAAAATGTGAGGAGTTAGAAAGCAAAATCAACGTGTTCAAGAATTTTTTTGTGTAAAAAGGCACATTTTTTAAGGTTCGTAAGAAAAGAATACCTTGTTATTATATACATGCTTAAATATTTAAAAAAATGGCGTATTTCCACTTTTAGGTTAGAATTTCTGGAAAATTTAATAAAGCAAATATCGGAATAATATATAATAATAATCTAGTTTCTGCTTAAACATTTTGTAGATCTATATTTACTAGGGTGTGCCAAAAAAAAACTTTTAATTTTTTTTTCTTTAGTTGCCATAAAAATATCGTCCAAGATGACGAAAAAAAAATTCTGATAAAGTTTGAGCTCTTAATATTAATATTAAGAGGTGGCTCATCGCAATTTTTTATTTTCCATTTAAATAATACGGGAAAAACATTTTTTTGTTTGTAATTTTATTGCGTTTTAACGAACCAGTGAGTTGTAGAAATCTATACATATTCTTGTGGGGAACGATCTAAAAAAAAGATCTGATATGATATTTTGCTTAGTCGACTCGTTTAAAAGTTACTTGAGGTTAAAGTTCAACCTCAAATAGTAAATGATGACTTTTATAGTTTTTCAGTACTCTATTACGAAATATTGGCTCAAAAACATGAAATATCATATTTGTTGTGAATTTTATCAAGTGTTCTTCTGTAAAACAATACAATTTTTACGAAATATCAATAATAGTGAAAAAACAGGTTTTTTTATACTTGATTTTAAAAAAATTGAATTTTTTTCTTTACATACGTAATGACAAAAAATATTAATCATTTTCTCAAAAAATAATAAATATTCTATTTACACTTGACTATTAGGTAATAAAAGCCATGTTTCAATAATTTATCAATTAAAATAAAAAATGTTATTCCATAACTTACAAGTAGGTACAAGTACTTTTTTCACTATCTTAGAATCAAACATTTGTTGTACTTTTCTATTAATGCAACTCTTTCTGCTTCATCATTGAGAACGCTAAGACGTTTGAAAAATACTAGATAATCTAGTATTTTTCAAACATCTTAATAGCTTTCATCCTGTATCCAAAATTCTACATTCTTATTGATAAGTCAATGGATAAATCAAATAAATTAAATATATATATGTATATTTAATACTTATTGCGAGTAGTTAAAAACCACCGGCAAAAATATTCCAATTGTAACAAGAAAAATTTAGTTTGATTCTAAGATAGTGAAAAAGTACAAGTTATGGAATAACATTTTTATTTTAATTGAAAAATTATTGAAACATGACTTTTATTACTCTACATTACCTAATAGTCAAGTGTAAATAGAATATTTATTATTTTTTAAGAAAATGAATAATTTTTTTGTCATCTATCAGGTAAAGAAAAAATTTCGAATTAAAAAAAAATTAAATATAGAAAAACACCGTTTTTTACGATTATTGATAATTCGTAAAAATTGTATTGTTTTACCGAAGAAAACTCGATAAACTTCACGAAAAATATGATATTTCGTGATGAGTATGAAAAACTATAAAAGTCATCATTTACTATTTAAAGTTGAACTTTAACCTCAAATAACTTTTAAAAGAGTCGACTATGCAAAAAATCATCAGATCTTTTTTGTAGATCGTTCAATTTTCTACAAGAATATGTATTGATTTTTACAACTCACTGATTCGTTAAAACGCAATAAAATTCCAAACAAAAAAATTTATACTAATATTAAGAGCACAGAATTTTTTTTTCGTCATCTTGTACGATATTTTCATGGTAGCTAAAGAAAAGAAAACTAAAAGTTTTTTTGCCCACCCTAATATTTACCTTACTTTTTATTTTTCCCTATCATAATTTTGGCTGGTAATAATTTTAACTTGGGTCATAATTTAAAGGTGTTGGTGGAGGATCGACCTGCGAGGGTTGAATAAAACAGAAGCAGATAATTCCTTCTAAGAAACTGGCAAGCAAAATGGAAAGAAGAAAAATATAAACGGTGGACTAAAATAATTCTAAACGTCAGGGAGTAATATAAAAAAACTAAAACATCTACCTTGTTTAACTTGTAATAATTTTAGCCGGTCATATTTTAGCTTGTTATTAATTTAGCTATTCTCTAGATATTTATAACACAAGTAATAAAATTGAAAATTCCTTTCACAATAAGATAAACTTTAATCTCTGCTTCCAAAGACTGGATAATACTCGAGTAAAGGAAATGCTCGCTTTCGCCTAACGTTAAACTTAAACTTTCATGTCGACCATTTAAACGTGTTAAACAATTCGCCAGAAGCACTTCAAGGAATACATTAAAGTTGTTCGCGCCATTAAAAATCGCATTAAAAAAATTAAACTCACGAGTGGCGTAAAGCTAAAGGCAATAAAGAGTTTCCATTACGCACCGCTGGGATGTCGAACTGTCGTCCTTTAATTAATTGACGTGCGCAATTAAACGCTTTGCGCACGGCACCGGAAGTTTAAAGCTCGTTACACAACGAATTTGGTGGCAATAAAAATCTTAATCAGGGACAATTTCACTGCCGGGATGTGGGATTGCACGAAAAGGTCTCTCTCCTAATGGCCACAAAGTGATTGACTTTGAAGGGAAAGATGAGCCTGCAAAACGACCAAAGCTGTTTCTTCTACTCCTACACTGTAGATTTGTTAACATGAGTTTGTCTGTTAATTTTATTTTGTAAAATGTTAACATTTTTTTTATAAAACCAGGTTTTGTAAATATCACTGTGCAACACAAAAAATGAACTGGGATCAAATCTGAAAAAATCGAATCTAGGCAACCCCCAAAACAAATCCTTTAAGGGGTTTTACCAATTTAGCTCGAATAATGGAGATATATAAAAGCCCCTAGAACTTAAAAAATATGAATTTTATAGAAAAATGCTCGGACACGTCGATTTTTATTTTATATGACGCAAATTTCAGTTGATTTTGAAATATTTATTTTTTCACAGATTCACCCCCAACCACCCCACTTTTTTTTTAAGAAAACCGACCCTTTGTTATACCTTAAATAACAGGTAATGTACTCTCTAAAAATAAATTAGTCAAAAGTAATTAATTTAATAGTTAATAGTGGCTGCTTTTTCACTTGTGCCATGGTTAACCATGGAATACCATGGTATCCCAAAATTTAACAGCCAATTCTTATGAAAAATTTTCTCCTGAATCCGAAAAAGTCGTCAAAAGTTAGAAAAGTGGAACAGTTTTTGAGATATAGTCAATTTTCCATTTAATATGGAATTGACTATATCTCAAAAACTGTTCTACTTTTTTAAATTTTGACGGTATTTTCTGATTCAGGGGAAAATTTTACATAAGAATTGGCTGTTAAATTTTGGGATACCATGGTATTCCATGGTTAACCATGGCACAAGTGAAAAAGCAGCCACTATTAACTATTAAATTAGTTACTTTTGACTAATTCATTTTTAGAGAGTACATTACCTGTTATTTAAGGTATAACAAAGGGTCGGTTTTCTTTAAAAAAAAAAGTGGGGTGGCTGGGGGTGAATCTGTGAAAAAATAAAAATTTTAAAATCAACTGAAAATTGCGTCATATAAAATAAAAATCGACGTGTCCGACCATTTTTCTATAAAATTCATATTTTTTAAGTTCTAGGGGCTTTTATCTCCATTATTCAAGCTAAACTAGCAAAACCCCTTTAAAGATTAGTTTTGGGAGTTGCATAGATTCGATTTTTCCACATTTCATCCCAGTTCAAATTGTAAGGTCAAAATTTGTCGCACAGTGTATTTTAACAAAGAAAAATATTTTACCTAAAGTTTTGTAAAGGTAATAGCAATTTTGTAAGCATTTTGTTAACTTCGAAGGTTACGGATTATTTTGTTAATGTTTAACAAATTATTTCGTTGAAAAAGTCCACTTGATTCGTTTAAAATATTTCCCACTGACAATACGCATTAACAAGTTTAAATGACTTCAGCGTCTGCAACTTATGTTTATGCTTACTTTATTCTAATTCGTAACATGTTCGTAATAACTATAATATATTACCGGAAATCTGTTATATTGTTATTCATATAGAAATTAAAGGTTAAACTTACGAAATACATCAGTAAGTATGGTAATAGTACTGATAATTATAGTGTACCAAGTTTCTTTATAATTTGATGATTTTAGAATGGTGTGTTATTTAATTGTGTGTAGGTTATGTTATGTTATATGTGCACATTATGTATTTAGTCCGTTAATTAAGCTTAACAATACAAGCATTGAACAAGTGTCAAGTTTTAAATTGCTGGGAGTTTATGTTGACCTTTCTTTGAATTGGGGGTGTGTATGATATTTTTGTGTTCATTTATGTAGTTATGTGTTAATTTTTTTTGTTTCGAAAATTGATTAATAAAACATAATTTCTTATCAAAATTTTTTTTCATTTAAGTTTCCAATTTCTAACAATTACTTTTGTTACTGTGTCTACAAAAAGTTATGTGGACCTGGATTAACATAAAAAGTGGTTAATATTTAGTTTAAATAAACAAATATTTTTATACTGTGTATGGGCCAAAAACTCGTGTTTATTCTTGCGCTCTTAAAAGCAAAATTTAATGGATAGTTTTCTGGTAGCTTTTAGTAATAACTGGCAACATAATTTTTAAATGAGAGGGATGAAAATAAATCACGAATAAGTTAAAAATAAATTTCCACGCTTCAGGGCACAATGCGGATGATTTTTTTTTCAAGATATGGCACAAAGAAAAGTCGTTATATATAAAAATCGGTTCAGACAAATATCGAAAAGACAATTATGCTTAACTTCATACATTTTTATTGACCCTTCAGAACCAATCCCATTTAGAAATCCAATTTTAAGGGTTTTCGACTAATTGAGTTTTAAATTGTTTGTTACAACCTTTTTTAAGATGATCATATTAAATATGATGGAAAAAGTATTGGAAAAATGATTTTATAGATATACTGTAAATAAAAGAAAATTAAAATTAAGGAAAATTTAACAAAAGAATAAAAAAATGTGTGATGCATAAAAAATATAAAAGAATTATTTGACAGTTATAAATAAATAAATATATAACATATACACTCACAGGCAAAATAATCGATCCACACAAATTTTTGATGAATTTCAATCGCAAATAAATTTTTTATTTAAAAATAATGTATGTTTATAATATACAGGTTTAAATAAAAACAAGTTTAAGTTTAAGACACTCTGTAGAGTGACAAAACCGTATATTGTTCTAAATTAACTATCATTATCTATTCTTAAAAGTTTTGTTTTTGGTTTACCTCGATATATTTATTTTTGTGGAAAATATGAATTTAAAAAAAACATTGCAATTTCCAATATTTTTTCTGTACGAAAAACTAAGGTTGCTATGGCCCATCCATAGGCTATGGAGGATGACAGTGACAGTTTTGTTGAATCATCCCATACGTCATATACGGCTTTCAAAAGCTTTCAAATTGTTTTTTGCAAATTAATGTTTAACATTTGAAGTGTCTTCTTATTTTTAAAAATGGATATGTCTCCGACTGATTTTGCCAGAGCCATTGATTTTATTCAGGATGGACGGTCACAGTATTAAAGTATTTTAAACGTCACAAAAAGTAAAGTACAAACGGCAACATCAGTCGGAGACATATCCATTTTTAAAAGTAAGAAGACACCTTAAAATTAACACATTAATTTACAAAAAACAATTTGATAGCTTTGTCCAAGTAGGGGATATCCTATATCATATGATACAACAAAACTGTCACTGTCATCCTCCATAGGCTATGTAACCTTAGTTCTTCGTACAGAAAAATATTGGAAATTCGAATGTTTTTTAATAAAAATCCATATTTTCCACAAAAATAAATATATCAAGGTGAACCAAAAACAAAACTGTTTAAAATAGATGTGACTTGATAATTAAAACTTAATTTAGAACAATATACTGTATTGCCACTCTACAGAGTGTCTTAAACTTATGGTAAAATCCATATTTTTGTTTAAACCTGTATATGTGAGCGATTCTCCATTAATTTATCTACAATATTCTTTAATATTTATTTAAATCCGAAATCAAATAAAAAAGTTATTTGTTTGAAATTGATCGAAAATTTGTGTGGATCGATTATTTTGCCTCTAAGGGCCGGTTTTTCAATCGTTGGTTAACTTTATCTTACGGTTAATTTCCTTAGATACTATTGTTAACACAATAGTATCTAAGAAAGTTAACCGTAAATTAAACTTAACCAACGATTGAAAAACCGGCCCTAAGTGTATAAAATAAAAAATATATAAACTTTCTTAAAACAAACTACAGTACAGTAATAAGCACAATCAGTAAAGAAGCACGTTTTTCGCTAGCAAACTAAACAATAATTGTTCAATTATTGAAGAGAGTCGAAAACATAAAAAATTCAATAACGATCAAATCTTTCTATTAAAACAAAATTGAATTTGAAACGAATATTTTAATGAAAACGGAATTACAATTTCATTTTAATACAAACTACGAATACCTATAGCGTTTCATTTGTGCATTGGTGATTTGATAAAATTTTAATAGTTTTAAAAATAATACTTTCGAGAGACTGTTTATTAATAACATGAAAGAAAATATACAAATTGGAATTGTATCTATATTAATGTTGCAATTTCATATTTTATAATTTTTTTCTGTCTCATTAAGAATGAAAACTCAAGGTACGCAAAAAAATTAAAATACACAGGCAGAATGATGCCTTTATAATTAAAGCAAATATTTGTTTTATTCAATTTGTATCATTATATTTTTTTTCTTTTACGTGGCTGCTTTAAAACATACATCAAAAACTGGCATACATTCTAAAATGTGATGCTCTCAGAGGTAGGGTTGGTAAAATTTCACTTTTTGCTTGTACTTGAAATTTCACTTGAAATTTTCATGACATTTATGAAATTTATTAAAATTTCCTAAAATTCTGAAATTTCATGAAATTTATAAAATTTATTGAATTTCAATCACTTTAAGTGTAATATATTAATATTGAAATAAGCCCACTCGGGGATCATGGAAAATTGCCTCTCTTACCTCCTACCCCTCTGTGGGCCCCTGCACCAATAATATAAATAGTAAATATAAATATGAAAGCTAATGAGATTGTGCCACTTTCATTGTTTTATATTTATCGATATTTATATATATTTATTATTTTAAATTTTTTATTGAAATTTTACGAAAATTAAAGAAACTCATCAAAATTTTATGAGCCAAAGGCATTTTTTATCCGTTTTCCGATGCAATTATAACAAAAGTAAAAGTTTAAATTAATCATGACTTTTAAAAGTCTGATTTAATTTACAAATTAAATTGGTAACTGAATTAAATTATTTAAATTAATTTATGCATATAAGTAACAATAATTACTTATAGTGTAGGTATTCAAATCCAAGCCAAACTAAACAAAAACGCCCAGAAGCTTGATAACTCGTTCTTATTGGTCGATTCGGAATCTGTTGTAAATTATTATTAAAGGTCCTAGGGGAGGCCGCATGTGAAATTTATGCGAAATTTTCAGTAAATTGCGAAACTTTCAATAAAATTTCTGAAACTTTCACAGGCAATGTTGAAATTTTCGAATTGAAAATTTCATTTGAAATTTTTAAAAATTTCACTTTCCAACTAAATGAAATATTTCAAGTTTGAAACTTTCAAAGTTGAAATTTTCATTTGAAAATTTCAACTGTCCAAACCCTACTCAGAGGGTTATAATCTGAAATATCCTTTACACCGTTTAAAAAAAAAATTCAACCTAATGAAATATACTATTGAGTTTTTCGGCTTACCTATAATCCTCACGTGCTTTCCGACCAGATTAGCAGTGTCCTGCGTGAAAAGCAGCAAACTTTCCGTGTTGGTTTCTTTATCCACCAGACGGGCCTCGCACATCGATAAATCAATGTTGCGAGATTCGCACATACGCACCAACTGGTCCCTGAAAAAGAATAAAATAAGGGAAATAAATAATAGAAAGGTTTTTGTTAGTACTTAAAAAAACAAATGATTTTTTAAAAACTTGATGTCAAAAATTACGAAACAATTAAGACTTTTTTCTGTGACTTTGTTTTCAATAATATTATGGTAAAAATGGGTTTGATTAGGTTAGATTTGTTGATGAATATACAAATTATATGCGCACAGTGTATTATCAAGCAAACTTTTAAACGAACGAAATTATCCGGATATGATAGCAAGAGCAACACATCATAATTTTCTACGCCACTGTCAACTCTGTGTGGATAATAACGACGGGATAGTCGAACATTTATTATGATTTTGTGGAACACTTATAAAAATAGCTACATGAGCATCAATCGACGTAAAAAGTGAAAGGGAAAATTTAAAATTGACGGGAAAACCACGGAAACAATAAAAAGTAAGTATTGTTTTGTTTAAAGTACCTAAAAATAGATGAGTATGCAAAACAAAAAACAATTATCAACCAAGTAATCAATGATAACACAAATGTAAATTTTTAATGAATGTAGATTATTGCCCACTGTGCAAGCATATTTTCCGTCAGTTGTCATAGTTTAGGAACAACCAGTGGCGGCCCAAAATTTCAACTTTACTTATAAAAATTTTAATGATTCTTTTATCAAAAATAAATTGTACTAATGGGTATTTCCATTGCAACGAGTGCGACACTGACACTGCGTTTTTCATTATAATAAAGTGCTTCTTCAGATATATCAAGATATAAAACTTAAATAGTAACCCCAAACAAGCACGTATTTTAAATGCGAAAATATAGTATACCTACTTTATTTTCTAAAATTTTCTGAAAATGTAACGGGTGCGACATTTGAACTTTTTATCGAGTATTAAAACTCTTCCGTTTTTTTTCTTAAAGTTAGCTCCTTAGCAATGTACGAATATTTTAAGGTTATAAATTACGTCGCAATTAAACTACACTGATTTTTTGTTAAGGTAGGGCAAGGTTTCGCGGAAATACCCTAATGCAAAAATCATCCCCTTAAAGGATAACAACTTATTTAGCGACACCCTGTATATTTTAAATTAATTCGTGTTTTTATCCCACTGTCCAAAAAAAATATTGTATTTGAAATAACTTTTTTTGTTTTTTTTATCCCACTGTCCAAAAAAAATATTGTATTTGAAATAACTTTTTTTGTTCGTAAATAAAACTTCTGTTTCGCTAAACCAATTTCAACTGTGAACAATAATGAAGTGATTATTATCTGGTAATGCAAAATGAAAATTTCACAGATCTATCTCTCGCGCTATGGCACGAAGCCAGTGTTGCCACTGTTAGTACTTTTGTATCAGATCTAGTCTTAAAACTAATTTTTTAGTACGTTAGTACGCTTTGGTAAAATCTAGTACTATATATATATATTTTCCCAACAAAATTGGTTCAAACCGCAAATATGTGGTTTAAACGGAATTAAAACCACAAATAAGTGGTTTAAACGGAATTAAAACCAAAATAATTTTTAATTTAATTTAATTTAAATCTCGTATAAACAATTCAATTTCCCACGAAAAAAAAATTTAAATTTTCCAAAAAAACTTCTTAAAAGCCTACTTAACAACTTTTAGGATCCAAGTTTTTTAACTCGAAACTTTTAGCACACTTTTTTCCATAGAAGTTAAGCAATGCAAATTTACGTCGCAATCACTTTGGTTCGTTAAATTAAAAAAAAAATGTGTCATTAATGCATATATGCAGAATGTGTCGAAACGTGATTTACTGCTTACGTCTTACGTCAACCAATCACAGTGCTTGATTTGTCCACTTTAATTGGTTGACGTAATTATAAAAATAATTAATTAAATTTGGTACCACAACAAAACCAGTTTAACTTATTGTGGTTTTATTTTAAACCTAAAGATATTTTAAGTTACATTTTTCATCAAATAAATACCTATCTCTTTTAAATTGATCGTTCAATCTCTATTGAGTTCGTTATTCTCGATGGAAACAATCAAGGCAGAAGAAAACTTTTTTAATAAAAAAAATAATGCGAACATTTTCATCATCGTGATCATCGAGTTATTTCCACTTTGTCGCCTTGACGATCGCTGCAAACATCTTCACCGTTAGATAATTATAAAAGAAACCGAATACTTCAACTTTGTGCTGATTTAATTACTTTGCGATCTTTCTCAATTAAGGGGAAATATCGAAGGAAAGGAGTTGCGAAAAAAGTGGGCAGTTAATTAGATCGTTGTATACTTACTGTAAGGTAAATCCTCGGTGGGCGGGAAAAAATAATTCGTTGTCCCACGTTTCGTCGCACAATCCCACCTCGAATGTCGCCGTGAAGCATTCGCTGCTTGATTTCTGAAAAGAAATAACACGTTTATAGCTCACGTTTAAATAAACAATTTTTTTACTATAAAGGTAAAAACTATTTTGGAATATTTAGCTCGATAAATCAAGATAAATGCCCACAATTCATGAACTAAATTTTAATGTTTTATAGCATACATAGAATATCATACATTTTGCAAGGTGCATAATGGATTTGATTTTATAGATGACAACTGTACACAAATGATGCACTAATTTATGTCAGTTCATTTTGAAGGGCATCAAATAATCATGAGTTATGTATCGCGATGATTTATTTGATGTTAACTCCACCTAATACATGTTGAGATTTAATATTATAGTATATTAGGTACCTATCAAGTTTGATAATTAAGTCACGAATTTAATTTAGACACAAGCAAGCTTGCGAGCGAATGCTTAATTAAATGAGTACCTACAAAAGTTTATGAACGAGTTGCTCAAAATTTCTCAAGTGTGCCACTTAAAAAATGATGGTTTCATTTGTCATCAATTAATACGGTTTTCAAACGGTTTAAGAGTAAAAACAACTTTCCTAAAATATTTTTGCAAAAAATTTTTACAATACTTATTAATAATTAGATTTTTGTGGATGTTTTTTTCAAAAATTGATTACTCCCGAACGGTTAATTTTTTATATCAACATTTTTTTTTGAAATTTACTTTACGATAAAAATTTATTGTTATTTGTTGTGTATTTCCCAAACCGATTGAAAACTGATGAAAAATGAGACCATCAATTTTTGAGCCTATACTATACAAATACTTGATATTATATAAAATAGTATATCAAGTTTAATATACACGAATTTAATTGAGGCACGAGCGAGCTTGCGAGCGAGTGCTTAAATTAATGAGTGTATAGAAAAGTTTATAAACGAGGTTCATACTATACTTTTTTTACGACAAATATTTAATATTATCTTAAAATGATTTAAAGAGAGCGCCATCTATGAAACAATAGGGGAATCTGTGTGTTACAGTCAAATGTCAAATTTTACTACTTTATAAACACTTAAAGGTTATAAATCGAAATGTATTTCTTGAAAATTAACAGTTTTTCACAGTGAAAGTAAAGAAAATGTTTTATGAACACTTTACAGTGGAGTCAGTGCCCAAATTTAAGTTATAGTTTACTGACGTCGAAATTAAAAGGTCAGTACAATGTTCATATATAACTTTTCAAATATTGGCGTTGAGAAACAATTTAATACTTTTGTATTTTTGTATTGAGATAATAAAATAATTTTCACATTTAGTATTATTTTACAAGAAAGGCACTTTATTTTAACGATTGTATGACATTTGACAACTGTCAACTAACTTAAAACTAACTTCAGCCCGTGACTAAAAACCTGTTGCTAACTTAAGCCCGTGAGTAAAGCGCCATAAAGCTACAACTTGTCAATGTGTATTTAAAAGGTCACTTAGTGTCATGGAAACATGTACGATAAAGGGCGTTTTAAAGGTGGGAATGGAAAAAATTATTTAAATTAAATATTTGTATAAAGCCACATCTAAACAAAATTAAAGTAACCATCCCAATAAATATTTTTGACGTAATTTTCACCATTAACATTGCCCGTTATTATTTTAATTAAATTTTATTATATAACAATTATTTTACTTTCAAACATTAAAATAACTTTAAAATATGATTATGTTAGAAAGATATTTTATCCTTTGATTTTTTTATTACTATTATTTAAAGAATATCACAAAGAACTAGTAGTAGAAGTAAATTAAAATTTATCTCTTAAAAATATACTAACAATTGATATAGAAACAATTTTTCACAATAACTGAAAAGAAAATGTTTTATGTGCACTGTATACAACATTTTTAAGGCTCTATCAGATAAATCCAGTTAAGTGCACTACTACGACGAAGTTAAAAGGTCAGTACAAACGTTTATATAATCTTTCGAAATATATTGGCGCCAATAAACTATTTAATACGTTTGTATTTTTGTTTTGAGACAATAAAATAACTTTCACATTTGTATTGTATCGACATTTGACAACTTTAGCCCGTGACTAAAGCACCATAAAGCTACAGCTTGTCAATGTTTACATAAAAGGTCACTTAGTGTCATGGAAACATGTACTATAATGGGAGTAGAAAAATAATATTAAATATGGTAAATTACTCAGCTTGAAGCGTCTCTCGAGATTTATCCTTAAAAACATGTTAAAATAAAATAAAAAGTATGCTTTTTTCCTTTTTCCGTCTGGGTTGTTGGCTTTTACAACGTGCTTGCATAAAATCTAATTAGTTTTGTAAATAAGTTAACTTTTTAAAAGCGTTGCATCGATCAATATTTTTCAACGAAAACATCCGGCATGAATCTTATAGTTTGTACCATATTATAAATTAATTTTACCCTTTACAACGCTTTCGAGGTTTTGTTATCATCATAAACATTATCTCGGGTCCTTAATCTGCATCAATATACCCCTAGAATGTTGTTTAATTCAGCGCGCCAGTTTTGGCAAATCCTTTTCCTACCCGAACAGCATTTATCTACCCAGATGGTTTCGTCACTCGGCGCAAGCTTAACAATGTAATAAACTTACGAATGTCTATTACATCCTTCCGCCAAATTCACTTTTATCTTTTATACATCCTATTACTTTATCTATAAGTATTCAAGATATACTTAGCTATGTCCTTTGTGTAGACAGTAAATTCCGAAAAGGACATGATTTTGTAGGTACGTACATACGTTACAAATACAACATATTGCTGCGGGTGCATGGAAATGCTGGCAAGTGAAATTGGAATATCTGCATATAATAAATTTTATAGTAATTCCCTTTGAGCGTGTCTTGGAATGAATATGCAGCAAGAATTTCTACTTTGATGTCGAGCTTGTGTTGGCAATCTTAAAGTACACCAACAATACAAATTAAAAAGAAGTTTATTTGAATTTGTGGTTGTTTACAAATAGCCAATAGCGAGTTGAACTCGCTCGCAGCTCGCCCGAGGGGACGTTAGAAAACAGTCAACTTTTCAATCTGAAGTGGAGTAAAAAAAAAACACAATACATACCCAAACAACCCCGGGCCGGGTCACGAAACACAAAACAAGTTAATTAAGCTCGAACGCTAAGAATACGAAAGCAACAACAATTTTGTCAATTGTACGTAAGTGAAGTTCCTAAATTTCCGCTTCAAATCATTCGCCACCTGCATAAAAAGTTTCTCCCAAATCAATCCGCCGCCAGCGCAACGGAAAATTAACTTAATTAACTTCAACTATACTTCTTTAAACTTGTTAAAAACTACTTAAATTCTTTCGAGAGTTGTTAACGCTTTAACTGGCTCGTTATTTTGGCATTAGAAGTGCCAGTGCCGTTGAAAAATTATTGCGAGAACGTGCAGTAATTTAATGGAAGGCAATTTTATATGTAAGTACGCGAGAGAGACAGTAGATATTGCAAGAGAAAAATCCAGTTATCCTTTTTAGGTAATAAGTAAAATTGGTTTACCAGTAATTTTTTAACTTTACACACTTTTCTAGTTTCTTGTAAATCTAGTGTTAAAGTGTTAGTTGTAGATAACTATTTAAATTAGTCCCAAAACAATACCAGAATTTATGAAAAAATTTATACTAGTAAAACATTTTTATTGGAATAACTTTTATCTACTCCCACATTGACAAGCTGTGACTTTATGGCGTTTTAGTCACTGTCTGAAGTTAGCAACAGTGGCTTTTGGGCATTTTAGGCATAGTTCGAAGTTATTATAAAATGCGAAAAAGTGAGGTTAAATTTTTATAAATTAAAATTGGCTTTCAATTATTATTTCTGTTCGATGTATATTAAAGAACCAATGTCATTAGACGTCATTTTGTCGCATGCGGACAATTTATAAAACGAGCGACAAAGGAGAGAGTTTTGTAATGGACGAGTGTAACATGAGTTCTTTATGCTATTTTATCTATTTTGAAAAAATTCTATAAAAAAATTAATTTTATACCTTAAATTTAATTTGGTCGAATTTTACTTTAGATAGTTGGTATCACAGTCATTGGTTTGACAATTAATGTCAAAATCGATTCGCCATGCCGTCCTTAATTTACTTATTTACAATAAGCAACTGTTAATGTTAAAGAAGAAAAAAATGATTTTTTCTGGTGTTAAACAAAATTCATTGTCAGAAAAGTCTCGTAAGTACTAGAAAAATCATAAAAATATTATAACCAATATGCAAAATATTATGCTGTTTAAAGTATAGCCAACCTATAAAATCAAAATTTTGGGTGGAATAAAGTATCTTATTAAAGCACCGAAAGCGGTGTTATAATGAAGTCATTATGAACGCAAAACAGATAAAGTATAGTATGCAACTCGTTTTATAAACTTCTCCAGACACTTATTTAATAAAACTCGTTACTAAAATGGCGTTTATAAAACTATACATAATATACTATTTTCTACTATACTTTATTTCGTTTATTATACATTTCCTACCTATACTATAATGAGATCCATTACGATACATGGCAATATTAACCAATAGAATTGCGATACACGGCAATATTCAGTCAATATCAACTATTGCCTCGGACATCTTAAAGATCAATTTTGACAAGTAATTATTTAAGTGTTTTTTAAAGTTAATTTTGTACTTTATTATAATAGTCATCATGTTGTTATAGCCATCATTAAATGGTCGTTGCATAAGATACTATTTAATCATATGGACCATAACATTGTAAAAAAATAGATTTTGACAGGTTTGACTAAGACGCAGGTTTTCAAACCCATACCTGACATTTAAATTTTAATTTTAAATATTTAAAATATCGCAAAATAATAGTACATTATAATGCCTAAATCTCGATTAAAATACTGTACTTTATCTACTTCAAGACAATTAAATGATTTTCAAAAATAAATAAATAAAACTGACATCTGTCAAATGGTTAACCTTACTTTTTACTCATTTTAAATGTTATTATAGTCGCCTTCTCCCAAATCCTCAAATCATAGTGAATATGAAAATCAGCTAATCCCGTTGTTAAGCAGGGAATTTATAATGTTTATCGTTATTCACGAAAAAAAAAAATACTATACAATAGGAGTAGATAAAAGTTTATGTTTTAAAGAAACATGCGATTATAAATGATGACATTTTAGTATTGAATGAATGAAGATATCGTGCAAAAAGGAGGTTATAAATCTAAATTTATCAAATCTTTCATTGGTATTTTTCGATAAATTTTTAAAAAATTGATGTGCATGACACGGCGAAAGGGAGCAAATAATTAATCAATTTTGTTTATCGGGAAAAGATTAATGAATAATCCCGATTTAAAAACAGTAATTTATACAAGGTGTCCCGGAACGATAAGGGTGATTATTTATATTTTTTAGGTTTCTAAATATTTAAGTTCCATAACTATGCTAAAATATTTCACAAAGTTGTAAAAACAATTTGAATTAGCCATGATTTCCGTATACAATGTGAAATATTTTTTCCAGTGCATTCATACGTCGCCACGTAAGGTATTATTTAAGTTCGTTTCTTCGGTTTGTTAATTTCGATCCATAGAAACCCGGCGCGAACTTTTAGCTTTCATAAATCGCGTGGACTTTTATTTCAAAAGCGGCAGCGGAGGTATTATTCAAAGATTAACCAGGTGGAAAACGGTTTTCTCGGGCTGACTAAAAGCTATTAGCATGACCGGGGGGGACCCGTGGGGGTCGACTAATGCACGGCAGCATTTGTCGATACAGAACGTAAATGACTTGTCGATGCTAATCGTTCGTTTACGCTGTCGTTATGAATTTTAAGCGATTAACTAAAACACCAGTTTAGCAACGAACTACCCACCCGGACAAGCCGATTGATTGGCACTATTTACTATTCGCAATTGCTGCAATAATTTAGCACATTTATAGTTACCCCGCTAAAATTCACCGAGAGGCCTGTAATTAATTTTATTTCCACCTTCTTAGTAAATTACTTTTTATAGGTTATTTTTGTTGTTTTTGCATCCAAGTAAACGATACATTATGGGAACAGACCTGTAATATTTTACGGGCTTGTATAACAGACCTGTAAAGTTTTACAGGCTTGTAGAAAAGCAATTTATGACATTTGACACATTAATTGAAATTTTAAATTTTGCTTTGCAATTACTCCTTACTAGGCTTACTTGAATATGGGGTTCGCTCCTGCGTCGCTTACCCCATAAACCAGCTTGCCCGTAAAGATTTATTTACAAAGCTTGACACGTAAATAACCATTAAAGTGAAAAATTATAGTCAAAACTTGTAATAGTTGAAAAAGTGGCGAATGCGCCGGGATTACAAGTAATAAAATAGTTTAATTTTTTTTCTACTCCCACCTTTAAAACGCCCATAATCGTACCTGTTTGTGATCTTTTAAATACACATTGACAAGATGTGGCTTTATGGCGTTTTAGTCGTAGGCTTTTTACCCCTTTTGCACTATTTTTTAACAAAAAATGGTCTTGAAATTTTGCATTCTTTAAAATTCTAATAAAATATCCATTTACTTTAAGTTTTGTTTTAGTGTAGGCTGGAAAATCTACATTTCGACGTTTTTTTTTAAATAACGTTTTAACTCTTTTTAGCTTACAATTTGTTTAACAAATTAAAGTTATTTAAAAAAAAGTCTATAAAAGGGCAATTTAATAGGCATTAAAACTTTGTTATTTAATTACTTTTTTTGGTTAAAAAGATAATTTATAGGATATTTTTCAAGTTTAAAATTTAAAGAAAGAATCTAAAAAAAAACATTGCAAAACGGGTAAGAAGGGAAAAAATCAATTTCCATAAAAGTTGTTGCGTTGTTTTGCATATATTCACGCAAAAACGCATGTATCAATCCAAAAACCAGAATATATACTAATCAATTGATTTAGAAAATAAAATTGCACTGGTATTTAAGCATTGGATCAACGTACGCTTTTAATATCAAAAATAAGGACAATAAAATTGATTTTTCTTCAATGACATGTCCATACATTATGCATGGCTATGTCTGGTAATCTTTAATTAAAATTATACATATTTTTAATATAAGAAACAATTTAAGGCAATTCCGAAATAAAATTAATGTAAATACCATTTCAATTTCAAACGTAATTTGCTTGGAATAATTTGCATCTTAAGGGAAAAAATAACGCTATTTAGTGTATAAACGTTTTATTAAAGGATGTCTTAAATTTATTAAGTGGCAGGACGAATAAAGCGGCTATCGACTAAAAATATCAACGGTGCGCTGTCAATCGTGTACACTCCCCTACTCTTATTTTAGACCGGATAAAACAATTTGTCGCAGCTTAAGGGAAAGCCAAGAAAATCACCTTCAAAAAACGGATTTTTAAAACAATTTTTAACGATGATTTTCCAATGACAAGATCATATTTAGGCCAATATTTATTTTTAAAGGTAATTTTAATACCTAATGTTTTTGTCATTTAAAAAATGAAAGTACTAAACATTTTTCCCAGGAAAAAAATGTGTAGAAAAATGTTATAAAAAAGTGTTTTACACTGTTATAAAAACAATATTTGTTAATTTGTAGTTTGTTAATTTTATTTTGTAAAATATTAACATAATTATTTGAAGAAAACCAGGGTTTGTTATTATTTTAACAAAGGAAAATATTTTATCAAAAGTTTTGTAAAGATAATATACAATTTTGTAAGCATTTTGTAAATTTCAAAGGTTACAAATTATGTTGTTAATGTTTAACAAATATTTCGTGATTTCAGGCAGTTAATCAAAACATTTCCCACTGACAATACACATCAAAAACTTCAACTGGCTTCAGCGTCTGCAAGTTATATTTCTGCTTACTTAATTCTAATTCGTAACGTGTTCCTAATAACTATCTAGGCAGGGATGGCGAACCTTTTTTAGTGTGCGTGCCAAAAAACTATAAAAAAAAAATTTTCAAATTGTAACGTGCCACAAGTAAATTTTTGTAAGTGTTATGAAGATGAAGGTATACAAAAACATTATAAAAAAAGTAAATCATTATTAAAAATTTTTTTTATACATTGTTATATTTTAAGAAATAAATTTAGTCTCGTTTTTTTTCATTAGATTATATCTGTACCGTACGATTTAGAAGAAATAAAAGATCAAAATCTAACAAAGATGCATACTTAAAAATAGATATTCACAAAAATTGTAAATAGAATTATTTTATTTGGAGCATTAAATTACTAAAAAGGTTCTATGTTGTAAATTTCTTGAAATGGCATTTTTGTTTTTTATAAAAATAACCCATTTTGTTTTAAAATTCATGGTTCTTTTTAAAATCATTATTGTTCAAGATATTTAAGTCTGCATAGTATCAAAATCTAGCTTATTCTTAAGTTAAACTTTGTAATAAAACATTCAATTAAAAATAAAAATTAAAAGTTTTATCGTTGTTTATATTTAACACCTAGATAAAATTCTAGCGATATTTATTAAAAATTGTAAAATATGTCGCATATGATTACAAGGACATAGACATTAAATTTTACGGAGTTTAGTTATAAGTTATGTTTTAATTGGAATAAAATACGCAAATTATTAAACTTAAAAATTATCTTAAGATGAACAAATTTTGTTTTTAAAACGTGCCAAGAAAAATTTAAAACGTGCCACTCATGGCACGCGTGCCATAGGTTCGCCATCCCTGGTCTAGAGTGTTTATAATATATTACAAGAAATCTGTTATTATTGTTATTCGGATTTCTTATACCTATTTAACGAGTGTGCGAAATGCGAAGTTTCTGAAAAATTACTGGTTTTTAAACTGAAATTAGGGGATACAGTAGAGTAGTTTAACTGCAGATATATCATGATAATTATATTGTACTACATTTCTTTATAATTTGATGATTTCAGAATTGTGTTCATTTATGTAGATTAATTTTTTTGTTTAGTAAAGCAACATTCTTTATCAAAATTCTTTTCATTTAAGTTCCCAATTTCTAACAAATATTTTTGTTACTGGGTCTACAAAAAGGTTTGAAAATTAAAAGAAATATGGTTGAATTATTGACATGACCAATAATGAAGCTGCTAATGAGGAGTTTTAGTACAAGTTGTTGCTGATACAACTTTTCGGCCATTTTCATGATCGAATAATTGAAAGTGAGTAAAAATTTAATTCCGTACGGTATTTTCACTGCTGAGTGACATTCAAATCTGGTACGGACCGTACCAGATTTGAATGTCACTCAGCAGTGAAAATAAACAAAGTGTTTTCTGGAAGGATTTAAAAAAAATCGTATGTTACTTACTTGTGAGCGGCTGAGCATGTGTTTTCTGGGCGGAGGCGCCTCGGCAGCGCACACTTGTTGATCGGTCTGAAGGGCTGTTTGATTGGGGCCCGGGGCGGGGGCCTGATTTGTGCAGTCCGGCTCTGAACGGGTGTCCTTTAGGGCCGCATCGTCCGGCGGCGCGATGCCCTGTCTCATTTCTAGGTTGTCCAGGTGGTTCAGGCTTCTGGAACGGACCTGGAACAAGTAAAAAAAATCCTTAAATTGCAATTTATTACCATAAAAATGTTTTCATCAAAACCTTACACGTTTATTCTTTATACAGGGTGAGTTTTAAGTTGACGCGTTCCTTTTAACAGTGTGTAGGAATCAGCTAGACAAATAAATATTTTAAGTAACTTTTTTATCAAAACTCAAAAATAAAAAAGTTATAGCCCATCAAAGTTTAATTAAATTTTAAGCCGGTCCTGGCTATTCTTAACGAAACACATAACCATAAAAATATTAAAATAAACAATGCAAAATGTCATATTTGACAACAAACATAACCATTTAAATCAAATTGACATTTTGCAATAAAAAATGTCATTATTTACTTAAGTAATTTGCATTTGCATTTTGACGACACTCTCCATAAATTAGTAACATTTCCACTAATTCATTATTGCTATAATTATGAACCATTTTTAACAATAATTGAGGCACAAAAAAACTGACATTTTTCATTGCTAAATGTCATTTTGATTTAAATGGTTATGTTTGTGGTCATATATGACATTTTGCATTCCATATTTTTTGTTAACAATAGCCAGGATCGGCTCAAAATTTAATTAAACTTGGAAGGCCTAAAACTCTCTTATTTTTGAGTTTTGATAAAAAAGTTACTTAAAATATTTATTTGTTTATCTGATTTCTACACGCTGTTAAAAGGAACACGTCAACTTAAAACTCACAATGTATAATTAAAATCAAAATGATGCATTTTTCTTATACATTCGTATCGTATCGTACTTAAACTAAGGAGATCAATTTTATTTTTGCCCTTTTAGCTCTATTTAATAGAACGATCCTGTTCAAAGAAATTCGATCCTTTTGACAGTTAAGAAATCGAAGGCATATAATTTCGGACGTTTATAAATAGATTTTCATTTGAATGGCGAGGGGATAAAAGGACGCGCAGATGCGTCTGAAATATTAAGCGACCGAAAAAGCGAAGGTCCTTTTTAAGTTTTTTATCTAGAGGTCTTCATCCTGTGTATCGTCGTCAGTGGTAATTGACTTATTGTCCTTGCAACCCACTCCACCGCATCAGAATAGGAAGGAATCGGCCGTCCTTAATATTGATTCCGAACACACAAAAAATTACCACCAAAGTTAATTTATCAAGAGGCGAGCACAAAAGGTTGCCTAAAATAGCTATGTTAAATGAATAGAATATTTAATATTTGAAGTTGGCCATGAAGTGGAAATACAAATACTTTTCTATAAATATAGAGTTTATATTATCAAACGGGAAAAATACATTTATACATAAATTTGAGTAAATGGAAAATCAATAAGAGTTATTGATATTTTAATGATATATCTAATGAACTGTGTCGAGGGAAAGTGATGTTCTTAATAGAGTTTCCCCCGTGTGGACGACAGCAGTTGGAGTTTCCAGGACTCCATCCACTTGAATGGAGTGAGAAGAAGAAACCATCTCAACGACCGCGAATCGGGGAAAAAGTAATTAAGTAGATTCGTCGTATACCCTAGATTTAAATCATTGCTGCCAACCTCCCCCGCGCGCCGCATTTAGTTCACAAGGATAAACATATCTCGAATCGATTAATGGAGTATCCCACTTTGTGCGACTTTGTGTTTCTTTTTACTTCGGCTTACCTAACTTAAGGTGTGGTGGTTGAGAATAAACGTTTTATTATGGCTCTATAATACTAAGGAAGTCAAAACATCGCTATGAAAAAATGTATGCAACTTTTAAGAAATGGTTTTAAAGAGTCGAAAAAAAACTGAAAAATTCCGTTTTTTTCTTGGAAAAATTGTCTTTTTTGGGAAAAATTGATTTTTTTTTTAAAATATACACATTTTAAAAAAAGTAGCAAACAACAAAATATCCTTTTTTTACAGAAAAAACTAAAATGAATTAAATTGATTTAAGAAAATAAAAGTAAACTTTAAAAGTTAGTTAGGTCTTTTATGCAAAAAGAAGTCCATTGAAAATCTCCAATTACAAAATTATAATTTTATAAATCGAAGTGTCAAATAAAACGAAAGTTATGTTAATACAGCACCGAATATGTTCTTCATGCGGCCAGGTAGAAAAAAAATAGAATTTTACTAAATTAAAATAAAAGGAATAATTATAATTATAATTTTAGTAGTACTGATAATTATATTGTACCAAATTTTTTTATAATTTGATGATTTCAGAATGGTGTAATATTTAATTGTGTGAATATTATTTTTGTGTTCATTTATATAGTGTTAATTTTTTTGTTTAGAAAATTAATTAATAAAGCAACATGTCTTATCAAAATTCTTTTCATTTAAGTTCACAATTTTCAACGAATACTTTTGTGACTGGTCTACAAAAAGGTTATTAAAAATAAGATCCTTTTTAAAAATTATAAGAATTGTGGTTAAATTATTGATAAAGGATTTTGTTATTAAATCTACAAAATGTTTGTTATAATTACAAACTACTTATTTAATTAGTTAACAGATTACAGTTGGTTGTAAACTTAACATATAGTTATGTGGACCTGGATTAAAATATATTTGGTTAATATTTGGTAAAAATTGACAAATATTCTTTTACTTTAAAAAAATGTTTGTTTGTTCTAAAATGTATTAATTTTATTTAATTAAGATGGTTTGTTTGTAAGGAGTCAGAAAATTTAAATTAAATTACGTTTTTCACAGTACTATTATTTATTTGATTATTTCCCTCATTTTTCAATTTTCGAATAAATTTCGTTTAAATAAGCGATTAAATCACTAGAACTATTTAACAGCGATTAAATTTTATCCTCCATATTGGATTTTTGTTTACGATTTTATGGTGTTATTTACAAGTTTTAACAAACATTTTTTAAAAAACAATAAAAAATAGGTTATCTAGTTTACGAAATATAAATTATTACTTATTACATACCTTAAATTAATGAAATTTTCTTTAAAAAAATATTTATAAATTTTGACACATACGTCAGATTTTATGAATTGTCAAATAGTTTCCTTTAATTCGAGAAATAATCTAGACGTATATCACTCAACCTATAAATTTAATCTGTCAAACTATGCTCAGTAAGTTTTTTATTTGATTTTTCTTTTTGGAAAATAGTTTCATGCAAAATAATTAAAAATAAAACCCCTCGACCGCTACGCGGTCTCGTGATTTTATTAAATTATTTTGCATTCAACATTTTCCAACAAAAACCAAACAAAAAACTACTGAGCCTAGTTTAACCGATTAAATTCATAGTTCTCGTGATATAATATATGAATATTTACTTCTTATTATATTCAGTTGAAAGCTTATTTTAAAGCGTTCTTTAGTGACTTTTAAAGTACCAAAGTTAAAAAATCCAAAAACAATAAACCTAAAAGTTATTTCAAAAAATGTGCATGAAAATAGCAACCATTAAACACAACCTATCGATCTATAAATAGGTAGGTAAGATAATTCCTATAACCACTAGGTAAAATAAAGACAAAATGACGACAAGGAAAAATAATGACAAACTTACGTAACTAAACTATCGTTAAAACTAATTTAAACCAATTAAAGAAATGATAATCGGAAATACCGCTGGATGGGAAATATTGGTCTCGATAGGAAATTGAAGCTGCTTCCGGTTTTTGATATACGATACCTGGAAATTGCTATTTATTTATTACTTTTGTCGGGAATGTTGATATATTACAAAAATAAACTGTTTTTTTTCTGTAGCAAAATCTTTGTTATCGGACGCAGCACATTTTTGCGCCAGCAAAATTAACAGCCGTATCAAAAGACCAGTTTATTGGTTTATCTTTTCTCCCCTGTCTACATTCATTCGATACATTTCGATATTGTATCAACATCCGAACTAAATTCGGAGGGTTTGCTTCCATATAAAATATTTAACTCGCGAAGAAAAATATCGGAAAGTCATTTATCGGGGCAAAATTATGGGGTACTAGGTTTTAAAAGAAAAAGATTCGTTCTTACAAATTACGACCGAAAGTTATGTTTTATTGCAGCAAAGTTGCCTGTTTAATAAGATATTTATTGGCTTTTAAGTTCTCTCTTACTATATTTTGATTAATTTTCCTAAAGGAGAAATAATGCTGCTAATTGAAGAAGGTATTCTCTCTTTAACAATGTTCCTTTATAAAGGTTATTAAATTCGTTGTCAATAAATTGTATTAGAGAAAATATGCTTTGTTCATATTTTTATAAAGGATAAGAATGTTCCATTTTGCAATATTGATACCATATTTTGCATATATTCATATTATTTTATGGAGAATCATGCCTCCACATACATAGATCATTTTTGTATGTAATTTACGTGATTATAAAATAATACTCGTACCAAATTTAAACACTCTAGGTTGTCATTTACTGCTCTCCCAAAAGGTAATGTCACTTTTCAGTTTTTGCTTATTTATTTAAAATATTGGAATTTTTGACGACAGTGTCTAAAAAAACTTAAGAAATGATAGTAAAAAACTAAAGCGTTCAAAATTATCTGATTGTCCACGTTGCATTGATTAAAATAAGAAAAATGATTTTGTTACTGAAAGTGTTGATGTCCGTATTATTGAAGTTAAATGGAAAAGTGAATTTCTGACATCCCTTATATAATAATATACATATTATGTCGTAGTTTTTGATTTAGTGTTTCATATTGTTATTTCTCTAGGAAAACTGTTCCTTATATACAGGGTGGCTTATCGAAAACAGTACAGCAAGGTGTACGGTTTCGTACGTGAAAATAAAAAAAATCTTCTGATCCGTATACTTTTGTTTTGAAGGGATCACGTGATGTTCTTACATCTCGCCTATGTTGGCTTACCAACGCAGTATATAAGTTCAGGTAGCCCTTTGTTTTGGGTGTGTTCCACTACACCAAGTTGCCCGACACTAATGAGACCCAATGTAGATCGAAACAGCAGTATGTCGGTATTTGAAGTTGGTGGAAAGCACTCAAATCAAAAAACTTTGGCGAGGTGTGGGTTCAATTCTT